ATCGGACATGATGCAAATATGACAGGTAAGTTCCTGTTGTCACTCAGATTAGCATTTAATAAAATGTGTCATTGTGACTGCAAATGTCAAAATTGAAATTACAATATTATAAATGATTAACCAGAGTCTGACCTGTGACCTCTTTGTCTTCTATGATGATTGAGTGCATTTTCTTTATGGGATTAGATGGTGGAGAATTGTGCATGTAACTCAAGTTAATTTCTAGTTGTAAATGTAAGAGATGGTCTTTTTTTTTTTTTTTTTTTTTTGAGTTGAGTTTGAGCTTTATCTCCTTGTTTTCAGGTCAACCTCCCTCAAAAAGACGATTACTGGAAGAGTTTGATAGGACTGCTGATGCTCCTCATGGTTGTGATCTACGACCGCAAAAAAGTTGTCCAAATAGTAGGTTTTATAGCTTTTTGCATTTTTCAATTCAAATATGTTTTGTTGTATGAACAAATTAACATTATCTAATCTTTATTTTTCTTTGTTAAGGTGTATTGACAGACAGGAGAGTTTTCAAGTACAATGTCTCACCTCATCCAAACATCACAAAGCCTCATGGGTAAGTAACCACCAATCTATAGGCCAGAATTGCACACGGGTGGTTCTTAGATCTTTTTTTTTTTTTTTGTCTTTCAGCAGTGGAAATATGTATGTGACAACCAGATTTGAAACTCCTAAATCAACTCAACATTTAACTTCGGGACAAAACAGATCAACGCGCTTAAAGACGGCAGCATTCGTTCCTCCATTTCGCAAAAACACAGTAACAGAGATGCAGAAGAACACAGACCTTGATGTCAACAAAACATCAGCCACTGAATTTGCTCTTCCGTTTCCAAAACAGAAGACTATTGTTCAAGAAGACTCCTCTAAACCTCAGGAAGAGCAGAATAAACACCTGGAACGTAACACATTCATCCCACCCACTAAAAAAATAAACACTGAAAATGTTGCTGATGATGAGCGTCATGAGGAGTCAAATGTGAGAACCCTACATGTAAATCACAATCTGATGAATCACAGTGGTTCAGAGGGATGTGGACCACAGCCTTCTGCCAGTTCACCATCCAAAAAAGAGAATATGCTTTCCATGAACCAAGGTGCAGCAAACTTTGGTAACAATCTCTTAATGGTTCTGTTTAAATACCCAAACACATGCATAATATTTTTCTTCTGGTTTTGCAGATACGTTACAGAATCTTGAAAATGTGGGAATGGCTCGAGACATGCAAGACATGAGGATCAGAAAAAAGAAGTGTCAGACAATAAAACCAATAGCAGGTCATTTGTTTCTCATCCGAACTTCCGGAGTTTCAAGAATTCCACTCAAAGTTGCTTTGAATGGAAAATCTCCTGGCCAATATTCTTTAGACAAGGTATGAGTCAAGGTTTTGCCACAGAGGAGTTTGTTAATCTTCAAAATATACACATTTTTGAGAAAATGATTTTTCCTTGTCTCAGCTGTACGAGTATGGAGTACACCAGTGTACGTCCCACGTTAGCAGTGAGACTGCGGAAAGTTTTCGCTTTAGTTTGCAGCAGTATTTTGAACTGGATGTTATCAGTAACGGAGGAGGAGTTCAGCTCGCTGATGGTGGATGGCTGATCCCCAGCAATGATGGGACAGCAGGAAGAGAGGAGTTTTACAGGTCAGATTCATTTTACTTTGGCTTTACCTGTTGTGTTTCTATTTACTCCATAAATATCACCTTTTTTGACAATGCCCACAGAGCGCTGTGTGACACTCCGGGCGTGGATCCTAAACTGATCAGCACAGAGTGGGTGTTCAATCACTACAGATGGATTGTATGGAAACAGGCTTCCTTGGAAAGGTCTTTTCCAAAAGATATGGGCAGCATTTGTCTCACACCAGAACAGGTTCTCCTGCAGCTCAAGTACAGGTATGTGGATATTTAAATGATACCTGGGTTGGAATTTCAGATTTTCAAATTAATTACATGCTTTATAAGTGAATATAATAAATAATGGTCCAGTAATTATAAGGTTTTGCTTTTTATATGTAATATTTTCTTACTTTGCCTTCTTCCGGCTGTTCCCTTCAGGGATCGCCACAGCCCAACTATTACTATTGTCTCAAACTCACCATATCAACGACATGTGTTACAGGTATGATGTTGAAATAGACCACAGCCGTAGACCTGCTCTAAGAAAGATCATGGAGAAGGATGACACTGCAGCCAAAACCTTGGTTCTCTGTGTCAGTGGGATTGTCTACAAGGGATTCTCCTTAAACCAACAAAGTCACAATGAATCCAAGACTCCGAGAGCTGCTGATGCCAAGGTTGAACCCTCATTGGCGGTAGTTTGGCTCACAGATGGCTGGTACGCCATCAAAGCTCAGCTGGATGAACCTTTGACAGCTATGCTCCACAAGAGACGACTTGCTGTAGGAGGGAAACTGATTATCTCCGGAGCTCAGCTGGTGGGATCACAGGATGCTTGCTCTCCTCTAGAGGCACCAGAATGTCTCATGTTGAAGGTATTCCAGGGGAAAAAAACGAAGTTGTTTTGTCTTGAAGTTCAACATGAACAAGTAACAGAGTGACTTGTGTTTCTAGATCTGTTCCAACAGCACTCGACCTGCACGATGGGATACAAAACTTGGCTATTACAGAAAACCTTGGCCGTTTCTGCTTCCATTATCTTCCCTTTACAGTAACGGAGGGCCTGTAGGGTGTGTGGACATCACCATACTGAGGAGCTACCCAGTACAGGTTAGTGTAGCTCTGTAGGTATTTGCTGTTACACTCATTAACTACAAGTACAAGTACAAGAAGCAGCTGCTTGTTTGCACCTTGGTCACCATCCACAGATAAATGCTTAATGAGAAAATAATCAAAATTATTTTTGGATATCAGCAGTAAAGACCAGCAGTGTCTGACTTTCTAGCTATTCTTTAAGAAAATACTGTTCTTTTGTAGTGGATGGAGAGAATACCAGACGGTGGGGTTGTGTTCCGTTGTGTTCGTGCAGAGGAAAAGGAGGCGCGGCGATACAACAGTGAAAAGCACAAGGCCATGGAGGCCCTTTTTGCCAAGATTCAATGTGAATTTGAGCAGGAGCAGAAAGGTGAGCACAGTGTATTTCAAACATGAAGAAAAGAGTGGAATGAAATGAAGCGTTAATAACAAGTTATTATCCCCAGCCAATACGAAACGTCAGAGCAGAAGACGGACAATGACACACCAGAGTATAGCAAGTCTGCAGGATGGAGAGGAGCTTTATGAAGCAGTGGGCGATGACCCAGCCTACTTTGAGGTGACAAAGAATGAACACTGAAAGCTAAATATATCAACAGATACTTGAAAGCCAAAGGCCATTGCTTTATTATTTCTTTCTTATTATTCTAGGCTAACTTGAGTGAACGGCAGATGCAGACTTTACAAACCTACAGACGTTCACTGATGGAAAAGAAACAGGCCGAATTACAGGAACGGTGTCGTCGTGCTGTTGAAGCAGAGAGCAGTGAAGGTCGATGTCCCAAACGTGACGTTACGCCAGTGTGGAGACTCTGTGTCGTTGACTCCATGGACCGAAGTGGCAGTGGTGTGTTCCTCATGTTTTCTCTTGTTTCCTGATGTGGTCTTGTGGTCAAGAGGTCATTGTTAATTCAGTCTTTTTGTTTATAGTTTACCAGTTAAATTTTTGGAGACCGTCTTCTGACCTTCAGTCTCTACTGAAGGAAGGCTGTCGGTACAAAGTCTACAATCTCACCACATCTGAGGGGAAAAAACGCAGTGGCATTGGAACAGTGCAGCTCACCGGAACTAAGAAAACACAGTTTCAGGATCTTCCGGTAACAAAGGAAACTTTGTCTTTATGGACTTACATCAAAGATTAAGATTTTAACTCTTTTTTTTCACACAGGTTTCTCAGGAATGGCTATCAGCTCATTTTAACCCCAGGGTTGCCATCAGTTTTGTGGCTCTCCAAGACCCAGATTTCAAGTCACTGTGTGGAGAGGTTGATCTGACAGGTTTCATCGTCAGTGTAATAGATGAACATGGTGAGTCACACTTGCTCTTATTTACTCTTGTTGTATTATAACACTGGTTGCTCTTATTTACTCTTGTTGTATTATTGTTGTATTATACACCGTTCATTAACAGTTCTTCACCCACAGGTTCCTCGCCAGCATTTTATTTGGCCGATGGAAATCTGAACTTCGTCAAAGTCCGCTGCTTCTGCAGTTTTGCTCAGTCTGGATTGGCGGATGTTGTTAAACCACATGTGCTGTTGGCTTTGAGTAACCTGCAGCTCAGAGGACAGTCCATGTCACCCACTCCTGTTGTGTATGCTGGTGATATGACTGTCTTCGCCACTAACCCAAAAGAAACTCATCTGCAAGAATCCTTCTGCCATCTAAGAAACCTGGTGCAGGTACAGAGGAAAAATCTATAAAACTCCTGGCACTGTCAATACGATTTTGTCATCCACGCTGTAATACATAGGCTATATATTTATTAAACCATCAGCACCAAAATAAACCAAAATTAATTTTTATTTTAAGTAAAGGTAAAGAAAATGTCCATATAATCTTTCCTGTGATTTTTTTTTTTTTTTTTTTTTTAAACCAGGAAAATTTTTTTCTCATTGCTGAAAAGAAGCTCACACATCTACTCACATCAGACGGACCAGCCTCTATTCTCTATTCTCCAGCTCTGCAACCAAGAACCCCAACTGTTACAAACCACAAAGATGCAAAGACAAATGTGAGTCTCATGAAACAGTTGCTTTATCTGTCATGTCATTGATCTACATACTTTAATAATTACTTGTTTTTTTTTTCATTTGTTGCTTATACCTCAGCAGCCAACCCCCAACCATGACTTCCTCACACCCGTCATTAAGAATACTCCCATGGAAAAGTCTTCATCAGAGAAAGACCCGAAAAGTCTTAAGAGAAGACGAGCTCTGGACTATCTGTCTTTTATCCCGCCTCCACCTTCTCTTTGTTTTCCCAACTTTGCAGCTTCTCCGTGTGTAAAAAAGACATTTAACCCTCCTCGAAGGTCTGGCACACCAAGCACTTTAAAATCTGCACAGAACTTCGTTAAGGAACCTGCTGTTTCACATTTAGAAGATGAATACGTGAATGATGAAGAACTGGCAATGATTGACACCCAAAAACTGCATGTCGATGTACTGTAGGTGTTTCACACTCTACAAAGACAGTGAAACTCCCTGAGCAAAAGCTACACAAATAGGTGAAGGCTTTAATCAGCTTTTGGCACATTTGTCTCTCACTGGACGGAATAAAGTGAAACAGTAAAACCTTTACATCACTTCCTGTGACTCAAACCTTTACATTTTGCACTGGTCAACATCTCACCATCTAAAACACATCACCATCTCAATAGGTTTAAGACAAATCACACTGTACACAAATTGACAAACAAAATCAAATTTTATAGTACATGTGTCCGGCCCTTTGTCTTCTCTCACAGCAAGGAGATACTGGCCTAAAAAGGACATTTTACTATTATTTTAATTATTTTATTATTAACATTATTATTTATGGAAACACTTTATTAGTTACGGGTATACTGCATAAATAAGTAAGAGCAAAAAAATGGAATTGTAGAAATATTCTTTCGACATTGTTTCTAGTGGTTCCTACTCCAGACCAGCAGGTGCCGTAATAACTATTTATAATATCAATGGCTAACCAGGAAGTGGAAGAAGAACTACAACAACTGCTAAATCAACACTAAATATATACCGGATTTTCGTTTTTAAAAATACGTACATAGATGTTATGAATAAACCTCTATTTTACGGTAAGCTATGACAAAAGAAAAAATCTGAACACCCGGTTTTTTTTACACAGGCTGCGATTTCTATCTGTTTGTCTGATATGACGTGCTAACCGTCTTGTTGACAATTAGCACGTTATAGTGAATTCACTATTACTCCGTTAACCTTAACGAAAACAGTTTTTAACCTGTAGTTATGGGTGGCGCAGGGGTTGCTACTGTGTGACGATGATGCAAATATTAATATATTTAAAAACTTGAAATATTGTAGGTTTTTACTAAGCTAAGAATAACAACTATGACAGTGTTTAACAAAATAATAGTTTCTTTTCCTACCAAACGTTTCCGTCATGCTCTGCACATGCTTTTCACATCATGCTCAACTTTTAATTATTAACAATGTTGACAATTCTATTATTCCTCAAACGTGTACCTGCTGCATGGATAAAATGTTTTCTTGTCGAGTCCTTAATTTTTGGAGGGGATATTAAACGATATTTGAATAAAGTGGTCGTTAGAACTATGTTCATAGAACATATCAACATTGATAGGATGTTATAGAACAAAGTGAGACAAACCTTTAAATCAAGTGCTAAATTATCAGGGTTACAGTGTGTTATAATTATTCATTGTTCATTTATTCACCTGCAGATGTCTCAGTCCGGCTCCCCCTACCTGAGCCCTCCTGTAGCCCAAACTCCTTGTGTTGGTGAAAATACCAAAAATAGTGAAGATGGGTTGCTCAACATTACTGATGTCATAGGCAAAGACCAAACAGGTCCTGACAGCAATGACAGGGACCGAGTGATGAAGGAGGTAGGACTCACCAGTGCGGCTTTCATTGGTCCCAGTTTCCCTCCACCACCAGCAACTGCGAAGTCTGACTTTGAAAACGAGCTGAGTGAATTTTATAAAGAACTTGAGACGACAGATGGAGGCACTGGTGCTCGTGTAAACACAGGAACCCAAAAGCATGTGGCACAGAAAACAACAAATGTTGAATGGGAATTTGCAGAAACAGACGGCTACTGGAAAAACAGTGGACAGAAGTGTCCATCGTGGCCACACTGGTATCAGAATGAGCCATACCACCTTAAGAAGCTCAGGCCAAATCAGACACCAATGTCTCACCAACCTCAAATTCCTTATCAACAAGTGTTGAAAGCTCCAGCAGGTCTAGGACCACATGGACCACCATTCCACTATCCACCTCCTCCATATGCATTCCATATAAATCCACAAACTCAGGCATCACCACATGTCAATCCTACATGGAGCGCTCCAAACATGTCCAGCCACTATCTACAGAATGCCCATACTCAGAGATTTCACTCTCCACATGAACACAATCTCCACCGAGGGCACCCTTATGAAAATTACCCACAAAACCTCAACAGGGGTGTTCGAGGGTATGAATACAGAAACTACACAGATGATGGAAATGTAGATTGGCGCAGAAATAAAGAAGGAGAATTTCCACAGTTTGATAAAGATCATGTCTGGCGTCAGGAACGTGTCTCACAGAATGAACAGAATGAACGTCACTGCCAACCACGTGAAAACACTCATCCACAGTCTTCTACTCTGATACTCATCCTAATGAGAGGATTACCAGGATCTGGGAAAACAACACTAGCCAGGTAAACTGGAGTTTGTCAGATAAATGTTGGTAGTTTTGGTGGTTTTTTTTAGATCATGTCAATTTGTTTTACAAAAAGAGATTATCCAGGTAGTATCCGTCATTGTGAACAACCCTAGCTAATTTCTGACAATGCTATATTACAGTATTTTGTGGTTGATAAAAGACTAAAAATGTTCATGCTTTAATCAGTTATTGTACATGTGAAATCAGGGAGCTGGTCTCCACTGGACCCAATGGGCTCATACTGAGTACAGATGACTACTTTGCTCAGGGCAAAGACTACCACTATGATCCAGGGCTTCTTGGAGCAGCACATGATTGGAACCACAGGAGAGGTATGTTTTCTTCATGTAGCTTGTACAGTACTCTGCACAGGAAATAATAGGAAAGGTAATATAATTAATCATTAACCCTAATATAAAACCTTCATTTTAGAATTTTTTTAAATGTCTTTCAGCTAAAGATGCTATGGATGATCGACGGTCTCCAATTATTATAGATAATACCAACATAGAAGCCTGGGAGATGAAGCCATATGTCAAAATAGTAAGAAATTTCTCTTTTTATAATTATAAAAATCATTAGCATTTCTCAGATGTTAACACATTTTTTTATCATGGTGCCAGGCTTTAGAGAAAGGATACAGAGTGGACTTTTGTGAACCTGACACCAGATGGAAATTTGATCCTTGTGAGCTCGGAAAGTACGATTCATTTATATCTCCTATTAGTAGCAGACTTGCAGCTGCAGACTTCACATTCAGTCAGTGCCACATTTCTTTTATTTGCTTCCACAGAAGAAACAAGCACGGCGTTCACCAAGAAAAGATCGCAAAGATGAGGAAACGGTTCGCATTCCCTGTATCCATAGACATCGTAATGAGTTCAGTGGACCCGCCACACGTGACCCAGAGACATCGATCAAATCAGCGCTGACAGCTATTCAGTAAAGGACATTAGTTAGGTCATTCACTCTTTTTTGATTGCTGCTTTTGCCATACTGTACATTGAGGGTAAACATTTTTAAAAGAAAATTTATAGTAGATTATTATTAAGAGTTTTTCAATGAAATGAAATCAGATATTTTTGTAATAGATTTAAATGCTAGTATTTTACACTTTTATATTTTGTGAGTTTTGAAAACTCCTGATGCTGCCTGACCTTTTTATGACTACTCACCACTCGCTTATAGCATTAACTTTAGCCATGGCTCATACTCAGGGATTTCTATGAGCTCAAGAAAGAATATATCTAAGACAACACACAGGATGACACACAGCTGCTGCTGACAGTGCTGTCATCAAGAAAGATGAAGGAGGCCATCTCAAAAATAGACAGGTCACATAAAGCCTGAGTGCATCTGGAGTGGCCACGCAAATCACAAGCACCACCTACACAGACACAAGAGAAGGGAAACGCCACAGACAACACAGCAGCAATTTATACAACACACCATCCCATAAGATGGAGAAAATGTTTAATCAGTCAAACAAAAATACAACAGAAATGACAATGATCTGGAAAAAGCATCAGCAATAATACCACTCAGTCCTAGATGTCAGTATTAACCCCCTGAAGTTCTTGCTCTGCATCTGGTAAAGAAACACATAGTATATAGACGTCAATTATGTTTTTCCACGGAGCAGACAGGGGAGAGATCTGGCGAACCTTGTCTATAAATAACAGGTCTGTAAACAGCTGAACTAACGAACAGGCCCACTAGGTGGCAGCAGTGTTACTTTTAATAGGAGATGAACATAAACTGCATATATTTGTGCATAGATTATTCTGTTATTAAAAGCCCTTTCTCCGTGATTTTGCTGTTCTATAGAGGGAAACCACTTTCAGATGTTTAAGTTGTCACTAAAGTGGAAATGTTTCTTCTGTCAAAAAAACTTGTTTTCTCCATTTTTGGTCACAAAGAGGTGATTTTGGTGAAACCAACCTATGTTGTACTGCTGATTACTATAATTACTATAGTAATATAGATTAATTTTCTGGGGAATGACGGGAGTCTACTCTTTCCTGTTGCAGCTGTGGCAGTTTCAGTGTCTACATGGTCATAGAACACACTGTTCTGTGGGTCTTCAGTCAAAATGTTGAAAAACGCTTACAGTATGAAGCTCTGTGCTCTGATAACGGCTGGCAGCCAATGAGTTCAATACAACTGGATACTGTGAAGTGAAAGGAGACATGCTATTTAGATAAAACACCAATTCTGGCCAATGCTGTGTGTGTGTGTGTGTGTGTGATATCCCTGTGAACACTGATTATTAAGTTAATTTTGTTCCACAGCATCATTTACAGCATGAATCATTCATGAGCCTGACATTCATGACCTCACTGTGAGCCTGTTTGGCTCCAAATGCAGTCATCTCCAATGGAGTGTGATGACGAGCGCTCCCTGAGTCTGTGAAATATAAAAGCTTTGACCTTTACAGTCTAACAGCTGTTCAACACACTGCTCCTGGATGAGGACAGTGAATGAACAGGAACAGGAGAGCTGAACAATGACAACAGAACAGTGACTCAGTGGGTAAAATGTGTTTGTGTTTGTCAGTGACTCAGTGGGTAAAATGTGTTTGAATAGCCAGTGGCATCGTATGGAGGTTGGGGAGCTTGGACAGTTCCAAGGGCCTCTGACTGATATTAGAATATTAGAATATTATGTCAACATGGGTTGTTAAATAATTATTCATTGTGATCCTAATCATAATAAGAGACGGTGTGTTTTGGTAGTATGCTGAAAATATATTTATTAAGTGTATTACATAGGTGTTCTGTGTCATGTGGTCCCAGAATTCCTGGCTGCAGCCCTGTGTATATCACTTCTCAGTTACATCAGACAAAGCAGGCTACATCAGCAGTACATCAGCACCCAACCTTTTTACTACCAAACACATGGTCAGCCATTACCGGCCAGTACCGTGGACCCCACTGATCATTGAAGAATTGGTCAAATTTCAAAAATACAACTTTTACTCTTTACTCATATCAGTCAAAAATATGTATTATTTTGTATTTGTATTATCTTTTAAATAAAGACAGTGAATGGAAATGATCAAATATTTTTATATGACAAATTGTTACATTTTTCACTGCATCCCACAGCGGGATGGAAACCTGGGGTTGGGGGACCCCTGAGGTACACGAGATAAAACAAAGGGACACAGCTGCATACACAGACGTGTAAACACAAAAACAAGTTGTAACAGAACCCATAACTAACTAAAAGTCTGTACAAACATCAGTGTATTTTAAAATGACTGAGTCATGCTTTACAATTTCAGCGTTCAGTGGAGTTTTGATCGAAACGTGAAGTCCGTCTGTCTAACATCCCCACCTGTCTGTGTCCCTTGTGTAATCAGTGTGATCACCCTCACCTGTGTCTCTGTCATTAGTCTCACTCCTGTCCCCTGGTGCCGTGGGTATATATATATACCTCTCTACCCTGGTGCCCTGGGTATATACTGTATATATACCTCTCTCTCCCTCACTGAGTCCTCGGTCATTATCCGGTGTAGTTGTTAATGTCACAGTGTTCTTGGCGCTTGTTCATGTCATGTCCCTGGTTGTTCAAACCTGGTCCTTGTGTCCAGTGGATACATTTGATAAAGTTGAACTGTAAAATGAACTCCTTGCACCTGATCTTGCTGTCTCTAGAGTGCTGCATTTAGGGACCTACCTTCACCAATACATAACAGAATGAACTGACCACTATGGGAACAGTGAACGGGAGAGAAGGCATGGCTGGTTGATTTATGTTGACAATTGATCAACTGTTGTCCATAAAACACTGTAAAACACATACTTAGTTCCAGTGGGGTTTTTATGGGTGAACAAATAATGTGGTGTTTATCAAAGGTGTACATTTACCACCTAGAAAAACTCCATCTCTGATGTAATGTCATTCACGGTTGCCTCGTACATTGCCATTAAATGTATTGTTTCTACAGATCACACCCACTTCCTTTACTCTACTGCCTTTACTCTCTCAGTCATCCAGGTCATGGTCAAGGTTGAAGAGTTCTGTTAGGCAACTGGATGTGAATTTTCTAAAAGAAGACGTTTCACCTCTCAATCAAGAGGCTTCTTCAGTTCTAACTGGTGGTGGGGAGATGCTAAGTGACATCTTTAGCTAATTGTGAATAATTCTTAATTATAATTGGCAGAAAACAAACAACTCCAACTGCTGCAGTCTACATTTTTGGAAGTGATGTATTTATTAAACATAACAAAATAAAAGATTTTTCACATAGTTTTGATTATGAGGCATTTTTGTGTCATTTGATACGTTGGTCAGGCAAATTTTCTCTCAGAATACTGTGTCGCACATATGATACATATGTTTAATAGGGATGATATATAACAGGAAAGTTGTCCTGACAGTGGGTTACACCATGTGACGGTTCAGAGTCCTCGTCTTTGACCATCAGCAGCATCTGCAGGCTCATTATAGGATTCCTAGAGCCGATCATCAGAGCCTATTTAAGATACACTAGTGTGTGTGTGTGTGTGTGTGTGTGTGTGTGTCTGTCTGCCGGTGAGGGAGCCTTGATGAATGCTCTCTGCTCCCTGAAAGGCTGTGATGAGCCATTAAACTGTCTGCTACAAGAAAGAAAACAATCCCAGCTAGCATTCAAATACAAGCCCTACACAAATGGACACTGACACCTCCGAGCAGAGCATGATGTTAAAGAAGCAGGTCATATACAGTATATACTGTATGTATATATACAGTATATATATATATATATATATATATATATATACATATATACAGTATACTGTATATGATTTATAGAATCAGTGATCCTCAGTAATCTTTTACATGAGAGGTTCATCATAAATATGGGAAGCTGGGAATCATTGTTCTCCTAACTGCAATTCCACAGTTTTAAAATGGGTGATAAATTTGCATTAAGAAATCATGCAACCTTTGACCTACATATAAGTCTGTGTGAAAAAGGTGAGCCGTGATGAAACACTCAAAATACTTGACCTGCTCAGTAAATGTAGATGTTTTGTCGTGTGTTTTTGGATAATTTTAATAAATATAGCCAAAACTAAAAATACAGAAATAATTTAGTTAAATAAATATTTAAATGAGAAAAATAGGATTGATTCATGGTCTGAAATTCTTCTGAACTCGCTGAAACACAATGTTGTCTCTTTTGCTGCAGTTTTATTCATTAGAGTTTGAGTGTGTCATAAATGCTTATTGTTCATTATCTAGAGTTAATGATGCAGAATAACTCTAAATAGATTCATTCTGTTTTTATTGTATTTTATTGTGTTGTTGGTGCTGAATGTTCCCTGAATGGTTGTGTGTGAAACAGACTGTTGAAGAAGTACACGCTGTGGTGTTTCTTTTCAAATTAAAAATAAATTGATTTCTGGCTCTGGTGCAGGTTTACAGTTGAACAGGAAGATAAGGAGCAGCTTAACTGCTGCTGGTGGAAAGGTACCTGAAGTCGGAAATGGATTTGTGCTCATTAGGGGCAAAACCTTTATGTTTGTGTGACATTTAAAGCTGTTTTCTGCTGTTCGGAGACTGCAGCCTAGTTCATCACTGTCTGTCTGACTCCCGGTATCTACCCATCTGTCTGCCAGGACACTTCAAGCTGTTTACTCTGTCGGTCACGTGAGGCGCACAGCCTGTGTTGTCCAATTGGCATGTCATCCTTCGCTCCACACCATCCATCCACCGGATAATTTGAGTTCAACATGGCGAGAACGAGATATTTAATTTTACAAAATAAAAGCATAGATACGTAAGGCAGGAAGAAAAATACTGTATATTCTGTATATAAAATACAAACATCCTATCAACTGTCAACCACCTTATGGTACGTGTTTATCCATATATAATCTTTTTTTTACTACTTTACCTTCCAAATTGCATATGTGTTGATCATATTTCATGCATTTATACTCTAAATGCAATACGTCTTATGTATATCCACCCAGTAGGCCACTTCCCGCAAGATGATAATAATATAATGATGATATTGTAGCTCACAAACACAAAGCAAAAAGGCAATACAGAAAAAAAGAAATGCGACTTTTATTTTGAAACTCTACCATCGGAAGTATTATTGTGATCTCTTTGTACATTGACAGATGTGACTCTCCTCATGTTGTGGTTGGGATCCAGTCAGGCGGCGGGTTGGCTCGCTACTGGCGACCACTCGCTCCCTTGCTCCTTCGCACAAACACGAACAACTATGAAAGGTAAGTCCGATGATCGTAAGTGGTTAGGTTGTTTTTGTACACATTTGTCCGGTGTCGATACCGCAGATATAGGCGTCAGGTCGATCATGTAGACGATGGATGGAAGTTTTTCCTCTGGCAACCGAGAGACTGAGGCGGATCACTGCAATTACACGGCGGTTACTGGAAAAGTGGCTTTGTGTGTGTGCGTGAGTGAAAGGTGTGCAAATATTGACAGGACTGAATGAACAGTGTGTTAATTTAATCTGTTAATAAACTGAATCAAGGTTTTTAATTCTAGATTAATCTAAGAAGTAATCAATACACGTCGAAAACTGCAATTACTTCACTCGGTTTGGACATGAGTGTTCTGTTAGACACAAATCCCATTTGCCTTGTTTGTTTGTACCACCGTTTTAGTAAGTAGAGTAGGCGGAAATGTATTTAAATAAAACACAGAATCATAAAGAGATTTCAGAAAGAATACAATGCTGTTATTTGTTTTGACCAGAGATGATGAAGATACATCAGAGTGGAAAAGGTTAAATATTAAAATAAAACACACACGTTGGCAGTGATAGCTGTCTTTTGCTGCAGGACTCCCATTGAAACCCAAAGAAGAATATACCAGTTCTGGATGATTAGTGGGACTGAGTAATATTAGGGAGAAATGTAATACATCTCCCTTCAACTTCTTAGCTGATTTAAGTTTACGATGTTTGTCCATTAGCCAGCAGTCTTGTGTTGACTCCCTGGTGGTTGTCAGTGATGAGGTTCCTATTCCATTGTCTGGCTAACTGTTATAAGTTATACGTTAAAATCATAAGTGAATGACTGACGACAGAAGATAACTGGAGCTCACTAGAATATTTGGAATGAATCCCATAAGCCATTGGCACTATCATTTGAGGTGGTTTCATTTTCATAATCATATTTACATTTGTAATAGGATTTTTTAACGCTTTCATAATTAGTACAGAATCTTTAGCAGGAAAAAAAATAGAATAAAATAGAATAGTCTCTATTGAGTACAACGAAATTGAGAATAAACAAAGTCTTGTCTTTGCTACAAGTGAGAGACAACCTCCCACCACATGTTGAAGCTAAGTAACTCACTGATGCTTGACCGTCATAGAAACCTCTTTCCTGTGGTTCCCTGTGGTTTTGCCTTTATGACCTGGCCTGCAGGTCATTAACAGCATCCAGCGAATGTGTCGTCTCATCTCTCCAATCTCATTAAGTGCTGCTTAGATCCGACCTTAAGGGTCTGCAATCAGCAGGGTCCGTGGACATTTTGTTAGGTTTGTGCAGAGCAGTAATGGCTGAATGTGAAGCCAGTGGCAGTGTTCCTGCCTACCACGCTGTATCACCAGGTTTGAAACCACCAGCTGCCCCATCTCCTGACCCCTATAGGAAGGCCTTTATCAGACAGTGGGACCAGTTTAAAAACTGGGTTCCCCTTGGTTCTGAAATAAAATGTGAAGCTATGTATTGTTTCTGAAAAACAGATGAAGGAACGAAACGTCTTTGAAGCTCAGTCCAGTTTCTTACAACTAAACTCCTTGGATAACATGACCTTGATAAATGAGACTTTTCGCACACTTTTAATTTAACCAACAAATGAAATGTATTGAAACGTCAAAATAGAGTAATCGCGTACCCTGACCTGGGCCACCTACAGTAATGATCTGTGTTGTTATCCAAATATTTACTGTATCACAGGCAGAGTTCGTCTATACGTATAAAACAAACAACAGACGCAGATGAGAAATTTTCTACCATGCTGTTTATGAGCCAAGTAAAAAATGAATGTGACCAAATAAAAGACTTTCTAGCTTGAATATGGCATTACATTAACCAGGAAATAGACGCATTTGCCTAAAAGTATTGTATTATTCGCATACATCTAGAATAAAGTAGTAAAAAAAAATAGACAAAGGGAAGTCAAGATAATGTTGTTTTAGTAATGTTTAAATATTAGTTTAAGAGATTTGAAGATTGAATTCAGCCACAGATGAACAGTTCGACCATGTCTTTGTTGGCTAACCACATCCAAACCAAGAGGGCGGTGTGAAGATTGAATCTGTTGTGTGTTAATTTTAGCCTCCATTGTTGTGCAGCGTCGGTGCTCTGAGCCCTCACTGATACACGTTACATAACATCAGCTGAGGACGAGTGCGGTTTAGTGAGCATAAAGATGAGAATGGAATAAGGGACCAAACTGTCCAAAGGCCTGAGCACACGGCGTTACGTAAGGCACGCATTCTTTACCCTTGACTGAGGCAGGAGAGGATGCACATGGTCCAGGAACAGGTCTGAGGGAGGAAGCTTCTGCCAGTGATGCACACACACACACACACACACTCACCAATGAGGCTGTTAATACACAGGAAAATGGCTCCAAACTGTTTGTGCTTTTTTGATAGTGACATCAAAAGCTATAATTTGAAAACTGCATATTGCATAGAATTTTAAAGAAATGTTCCATATACACATTATTAAAAAGGAAGAATTTCTGGACAGTGACAAATGATGTCAGCAGACCATCACTGAGTTTAAGGGACTACAGGTAATCACCTATCTATTTACCCGACGTAATAAGTGTTTCTCCCAAAACAGAAACACTTATTACAGTACTGCATTCATCTTAGCACATCCCCTCTGTAATTGTAGATTTCTATTATGTAACAAAAACAGCTAAAACAACTGAAGCCATTTTACATGCAATTAAGTTTAATGACCCCCCCCCCCCAAAAAAAAAAAAAAAAAATTCAACAAGATCTACATTCTTGCTTTTTTACCACGGCCCTGTTATATTCCCAGCTTTTATTGATTTGGCAGCAGATGACATCGGTGATTGATGATGTCAACTGCTGCACTGACAACGTTCAACAATCAAATTCTCTGCGGTACAAGGAGCACATCATTTCTACTCACTTTGAATACCTTGTATGCAGATATCACTCATCTGCTTTTAACATGTCCACACTCAGCTTTCATTCAACTGAAAGTTTGTACGTTTTCTAAAAATCCCTGCGGCTGTTCTTTGGATAATAATGCTGAGGCACTCTTTGTGCTGCGGCAGCAGAGCTGGAGCTGTGGGCAGCATCCTGATAAACTGAGAGTGACTGCACTGGGAGCTGTGATAAACCACACATGGCAATAACACAATCTCAAATCACGATCTCCAATTTTGCATCTCTGTCTGCAGGTTTTTGTTAGAGGAGATCTGATCAACTGCTTTTGTTATTCTATATTATATAAATGAATATATTAAATAATAAAATAATATGATAATGAAAATATCAAATGAAGGATTGGCTGGAACAGAGAATATTTAAGGTTAGAGTTCCAACAGCAGTCACCACCAAAATACATTGACATGGACCTATTGGGAGACCTCATCAAGTTTGGCTCCTCCCTGTGACTCTGTAGGGCCCCCTGTCTGACAGCAGGGGGCATTGTTCTCCACTGGACTTATGCTGTCCTTCAATACAAGGGGCTTGAATTGATTCCGTAGATTGCTGAATCAATTTTGTATTGGAGAGGAATAATTGCACTGCATTATTGAATCGATATTTTTACCTACCCCTACTGTGAGCAGAGTTGGGCTTTGAGCTCCTCTGGGACGGAGATGTTTGAGCTCCATTATAAGCTCACCTCCTGCTGCTAATGAACAAACAAGCTAGTATTTAAATAACGATCACTCCTGGGTTAGGCTCAATTCTCTATTTTTTAAGCACTTGGACCTCTCGGCTTATCTCGGTTCCGTGAATCGTGAAATATTTAGCTAATATGTGGAGAATTGTTTGTTCTCCAGTTAGCAGCAAACCACTATTCCCACTTGTTGAAAAAACGCCTACTCTTGTGTTTGCCACAAAGACATCATTTGATAGTAGTTTGTCTCAGAGGCTCATGGTGAAGAGTAAATCCAATGTTGAGCAGCAGTAATGAATCTCATGTGTAATTATGTCATAACAAACTCAGGTTTTATGGATTCATATTGAACTTTGATCCCAGGGGTAGAATAGCTGTTTAAACTATTAAAGGAACGTGGCATCAGTGACAGTCAATACTGGGGCAATGACTTCATATTTTTTCACATTGAAAAATCTGACCATACAATCTGAGTCGCGTTGTTGATTGTTTAAGGCATAGTCACACTGACAGGGGAGGAACTTTGTCGCCGCGTTGTCGGTTTTTCTGTTAATGCCCTGGTCTGTACACAGACACAGACATGACTGAGCCCAAGTGTTTATACTAGATCCATAACAGCTCAACCCACTGTTCAATTATATGTCGGTCATAGTTTTGGTTTTCCATCTTGTTGCCTCCATGATTTATGACCAAAGTCATTGCCTTAAAAACCATTTAGTCTTGGCCAGATTTCTATTTTTTTCCCTACTTTATACGAGAGTTTGATTTAAAATGTAACTTCCATGGTATGGCCCGTAACTGTTCCCCCTGAGAGCTGCCAGCTGTATGCGAAGCCATGACAAACGAATCCGCTCCTCTAGGTAGAGCTGCAGATGAATAGGTGTTAAATTACCCTTGTTGCCTAGCATGTGTGTTTGCAGGTGCTGATTAAATGTCCCGACTAGCCTTGTGTGACCTGCACGATCACATGGATGAACAAATCAGCTTCGGTTTTCCTCAGGGAGCACACGTTGCTGTTCTTTATTTTCTGCCGTTGATGCTAACTGATGGATTAATTACATTTAAAAAAAAAATAAAAAATGAAAAAACCAACACCAGGGGATGTGTTTGTCTCTGCAGGTAGCATGATGTGAATTGGCTGCGTGAAGCAGCCTGGGCGGACATGATGGAGCAGGCTGCCACCCAGCTGGAGAGAGAGCACGTGCACAGTGTCTATGACAAGATTGCTCCATATTTTAATGACAGCCGCTATAAAGCATGGCCCAAAGTACGACAGTTTCTGCTGGATCTGGAGCCAGGAAGCATTGTTGCTGACATAGGTGAGTGTGGCCTCCATCTGTAAAATGTGCTGAATTTAAATCACATGTATATATAATCATATATACTGTATATATAATACTTGATATATATTGATATTTTATTTATATCTGTTTTTTCTCAGTTTCCCCCCAAAGCATTATTGCATATAAGATATAAGATAAGATCATTTTTCCTGATTCAAACCCTTTAAAAAACAAACAAACTCTCAGTTAAAAGTCTCAGCCACATGCTGAATGTTACACAGTGACCTAATAACAGAGGTCACTCTGCATCATTTAAAAATGTATAAAACAATTTGAACAAAAATGCTGCCTTAATGTAGGAAATAAATTAAAATGAATAAAATAAAACAAATCTCTTTTTTTGTATTACACAGGCTTTGAAAGCTCTGTTTTGACGAGATAAAAGATTTCAATGATTACAACAGTTTACAGGTTGTAGGATTCAATTCAAATTGTTTTTAGTGTTGTTTTTTTTTTCCTTATCATCCTTCCAACCATTTCACAGTATCATAAGAGAACACATCCTACAGTATGTGTTGTTCCCTGATGTTGAAGTACCTCCAAACTGATGACTCTGACCTACTAAATAAACTACCAACTAGGGCAACGAGGCACTGGACTGCAGTATGAAAACACATAACACTTGTTGTTTCCCAGTTAACAAGTAAACTGATATAAATACAGAGAATTGGAAAAAATATTAAACTGGGAGTAAACTAAACAACAACTCAAATAAAAAATATTGAACATTTACAGCAGACGGTGGTTGATGTAAATGTTAATCTGACCGTCTTGCTTCCTTCAGGCTGTGGCAATGGGAAGTATCTACACATCAATAAGGACGTGTTCAAGCTGGGGTGCGATGTGTGTCGCCCCCTGGTGGACTACGCCTGGAGCCAAGGACACGAGGTACAGATGTGCAACGGGCTGCAGTTGCCGTACAGAGATGGCTGCTTCGACGCTGTGCTCTCCATCGCAGGTAACTGACCAAAAAAGGTCAAAGGTTAAAGGTGAACTCTATCAAATTGATTCACTGACAAAACTCTAATTCTCTTGTGTTGTTTATAAAGGATCATGACATCTTACACTGGTTCATGAAGTGGGGGGCGGGGCCCTGTAAAGGGAAGGGAACTACTGTGAGCAGTGCACCAAGGGAAATTATTTAAATTTTGATTATTTCTCGATCTGTGGAAACTGATTTGTAATTGTATTACCTTTCAATGAGAGTAGTTAATTTTTTGGCAGGTGTGTTGGAATGTCAAGATGATTGAATAGGGGGTGTCAAACTCAAGACAATTTTAAAGCATAGTCTAATTTGTGGGCCAAACAGGGATAACATTTATTGACTCTATTGCAAATGTAAATGTACACTGGAATTCAAGAAAGTAAAAATACTCACCCTGCAGATGCAATTTGACCACTGTGTTTTACCAATCCAGAAACATTAGGACATGTAATGTCAGCCCTTGTGGTCCACAAACTGCTACTTTTATGTATGTGATATCTGTCAGTGCTAAATGCACTTTACTGGACTATTAAACAAACACCTGCGTGGACCGCTGTCATTAACCCCGACTGTTATTCTGGTCTTAGTCATCCATCACCTGTCCACCAAAGAGCGACGTATTCGAGCAATAAGGGAGATGGCTCGCACTCTGCGAGTGGGCGGATGCATCATGATCTACGTGTGGGCCATGGAGCAGAAGCGTCGCAAGTTTGAGAAGCAGGATATTTTTGTCCCCTGGAACCCCAACCCCCACTCGTCTCTGGGTTTGATCAAGTCCAAGAGGAGGGGCACAGCACAGAGTCTGAGCGAACCCCTCGACAACAAAGAAAAGCAGAGGAAGATTCGAAGCACATCCTCCGTTGCGGACGAAGAAGACCTGACGTGCACAGCGCCGCAGCAGAAGACCCAGAGGCAGTGGTTTTTCTCCCGGTCTCTGGATTCTGTGTTCGACTTCGGAAGTCTTTCCATCTCACAGTCAACCTCCAGAGACCTCAGCACTTTAACTTCACCCACCGGGGAGAACGAGGGCAACAGGAGGTGGAGAGGACGAGGCCTAATCAAGCAGGTGTCCAGCTTCTTTTCCCCCTCGTCTGTGATTGGATCAGAGGAGGATGTCTTTGACCCTGTCACCGACCTGCACAAAGGACAAAACGGTCTACGAGGCAGCAACGCTAACCTCGACAACAACAACAGCACAGAAAACCAGGAAGTGTCGCTGTCCTTTGCCCAGGATTGTGGCTCTCTGCCCCTGCCTGACCTGTGGTCTTTCCAGAAGGAGCAGTCTGAAGACAACGGTGAAGGTAAAGAGCAGCAGCAGCAGCCACAACAGGGAAGTAGAGAATGTCCTCAGGAGGCCGACGGACAGCTGGACACCTCCTGTCTACGGTACTATCATGTCTTCAGGGAGGGAGAGCTGGCAGAGTTGATAGAGAATCACATGGAGGAGCTTCACGTCAAACACACCTACTTCGATCACGCCAACTGGTGTGTGGTGGCAGAGAAAGTTCAACCCTAATGGTTTTAATGATGGCATTTATTTATTTATTTTAAATTTTTGATGAGTTAAGTCTCAATTTTAGCGTATAATCACATTTTATTTTTCACAAATATTTAAATCTGTGAAGGTCAGAAATGGATTCCGTATAATATTGCGATCACATGAACAGACCTCACCCTAACCCAATGACATTTGTCCATTTATTTATCCATACTAGGCATTATTGAAGAAAAATTTTTTTTAAATAAAACCTACATTTTAACATTTTTCCATCAACCGTCAACAGTAAAGGTTCACTAAGTTGCACCAATAGATGTTTCCATGCGGGTCAAATAATGTTGCCTGTATGTGGGCCACCATGGGCTTGAAAGGGACCAAATTCATTTACATGCAGTAAATGAGCATTTTTAGCTAACAAGCAGTGTCCACTGTACATTTCAGCTTTTAAATAACTTTTTTTTTAACTATACACAGTCAAGACTTTCAGTTTTCACTGCTGCGGAGATTTTTGGAAAATCCAGTGTTTATTTCTTAACTAGAAATAAACAGGGAGCCAGGAACTTGGACATCAAATTGACATTGAGGACCGTGAAATAACATTGTCACACAAATCTTGCCAATCCAGTTGTTTAGCCACACACTGTGTTAAAGATGACCATCAGCTGCATCTCTCAGTCAGTTCCTTTTCTACAAACTGCCTCAGAGCTCAATGCTGCTGCCTGTTTTAAATGGGTCTGTGCTGTTTAACGCAGCCAACCTTGTGTGTAGACCACGTGTGTGTGTAGACCATTTAACAGACCAGTTAACAGAGCTACTGTATATCAAAAGGGAAATCTTCTGGTTGTAAAATGACGTTTTTCCCGTGGCTCATATTCAGCAACTGAGCGTCTTAGAAAGCAAAACTGACTCCTGATCAGTTTCACTCTGTTCATCCAAAGCCTGGAAACTGATCCACAATATTGGTCCTGACGAGAGTCCACTTACATGAAAGGACAGATCCAAAATGGATAAGGAGCTCCTGTTGTTCTTTTCCGACCACAAAGCTGCCCTGAATTTAAATAGACTCAACATTGACAGTTTAGACCTGTTGGGCTGGTCCTCTGATCCTGATCTCTCCTCATTTGTCCTGTCCTGTAAGTGGACAGCGAACCAGGAGTTGTTTTTGCAAATCCTTCCATGGTCACTTTGCCATCACTTAGCTATCACTTAGCTATAACACTGTTTACATACTCACACATACTCGTACGTACTGTACTACAGATCAAATGTGTGTGTGTTCTCCTGTCATCTGCCTCTCGCACCAAACCACAACCAGCTCGTCTGTTCATTTTCCTTTGTTGACATCTTTGTCCTGAAAGTTGTCCTGAAGAAGTTTCACGTACTCATGAACACAAACACACGTCACAGGAGGGAAGTTACACAAAATGTGTTGACGTTTTTACTCATCTTTAAATTTACTCATTTTTTTGTGTTTGCCTTTTCTGGATGTAAAACTGTCGTATGTACGTCTCCCGTTTTAACGTTGTATTTTATTGCAGAAGGTGTCTTAAGATTTTTGGTACTTTATAAATAATAGTTTTTATTTATTCAATGAGCGTTCCTGCAGTTTTCTGCCTCTCTGGAGTATAAAATACTCCATATGGTTATACCGTCTTAAACTGTAGTATTTTAGGACTTGCTGTCATCTAGTGGTGAAATTGTATGGTGCAAACAAATAACACTCCAGTTAGTGAACTGTGTATTCAACTGTGTTTAAAGAACGCGCACGTATTCTCTGTGTATTCACACATTCAATCGAGTACAGCTGCCCTGATTTTAGATATTACTTAAAGGTACTTAAATAACTGTGGCACATTACGAGAAATAAGTCGTAATGTTTTGAGAAAAAATAGTAGATTCACATGAAAAAGGACATTTTATGAGAAAAAAGTTGCTAGTTTATGTGAATAAAGTCTTAATATTTGTATAAATGTATCAATATTATATTATTCTAAATGAATCATAAATGAATTACTATTTTTTCTCGTAAAGTTACGACTTTCTTGTAGCTTTTTAACTTGCGACTCAACATGGTCCTAATATTCTGATGTAAAAACTGTTTTGGTTTTTTTTTTTTAGACTTTTTTTCATTGTAATGAGTTTTTGTTGATATATACAGTTTAAATTTTTCACACTTGATCTTAAAGGCACTGAAGTTTATTTTTTATTTATTGTATTTCTTTTATGTTTGCACATGTTTGAGCTCTAAATTCGAAGAGTTAAAAGTATTGTGTCCTACGTCTGTGGCCTGCTCACCTCTGTATTCTATTATAAAACACAATTAAATAGTTAAAAAAGAAACACAAAAACCTGTACAGAATATCTTCCAGAACTGTAATTGTGCTCAACGTTGACACCTGAAACAGTCGTGTATTTCCCTGTACTACGCCGTTTGTGTCAGCCAATCAACTGCCTCCTCTACTGTGAACTAACATTGCACTGTATATCATAAACTGTATGTCTGCCTAGTGCCAGTGAGCGACAGACAAACTGTGTGTGATACGTGACTCATTACAGGTCTTCAGTTTACCTTGTGCCACGGACGGAGTTGACGTACATGTTGTACCAACTGTGATTTTTCTGTAGTAACACTGATTGTTGTCTTCTGTCAACTGATGTACAGTAAGCATCTTAGAGTATACTTTTTTTCATTAATAAAATATTTTCATCCATTCAGGTTACGGTGTTGTGTTTGATGACGGGTGCAAAATACTTCACTTGGAATTATGAAAAAAAGCCATAAAAGTAAACATTAGTTCGGCTGTTTAATTTAGTTCAACATGACAGGATAAATGAAAGAAAATATTTGCTGTGATTCCATTGACTATTTGTTATGTATAGTACAAATGTATTTCAAAATTGATACCTGAAAAACAAGTCAGGAAAAGCAAGGTAGTATTTTGTGTGGTACCTCAATCAGCAGGATGACTGGTTTTAAAATAATATAATAGTAAATCATAGAAAAAATAATAGTAAGATTAGTATATAATTATAAGTAGAAGCTAAATGTTACAAAACTCCATCTGATTTCTACTACACTATAAGGAATTGATCAGGTTCTCAGGTGTGTGTTCCTGCTGGTTAATCAGTGTCATCACAGTCAGCTGTGTCTCTGTCCTCAGTCTCACTGGTGTCACCTGGTGTCACCTGGTGCCCTGGCTATATATACGTCTCTCTCATGCTGGCCTTGTGGGTTCGTCACCTGGTGTCACCTGGTGCCCTGGCTGTATATACCTCTCTCTCATGCTGGCCTTGTGGGTTCATGGTCTGGTCTGTTCATGTGCTGTGGGTCTGTCTTCGTGTTCATGCTTGGTGGTTTGCTCCTCTGTGTTGCAGCTTGATCCTTAAAAGCAGACCCAGTAGGTGAATACTTTTGAGTTTTGAACCATGATGACATTTTCTGAAACTAGGATTTGCCCCTCAGGTACTGCACTTTGGTTCCACCATCTTCCTGAATCCAACCCTAAACGTTACGTTACGTAAAGTGACATATTTTGGCCAAACATTAATCAAATGAGAAATAAAAAAGTAACCAGAAGATTAATGGATCAAACAGAATTTAGTCATTAAATTCCACCATTTGAATTCCAGGTGACATCACGTAGGGTCGTGACCCCAAGGTTGAAAAACAATAGTGTGACAGGATTTGAAATGAAATCAATGTCTTCATAGAGATTGTCAAGTATTTTAACTTTTTGTTGGAGTTTGGAGATTTGGTTCTCCAGTGATGTCAGGCGGTCCTCGCTCTTAGACGCTGCTATCCTTTTAATGTTGTCCTCAATTTGACTATTTAGCCTGTCTAGGGTGGAACGTAATTGCAGCTGTGCCTTCCTCCATGTTGGACGCGCTGCTAACTGTGCTAGTCGGTTGTTTTTGTTCCGAGCGTTGCTTCTTTGACATGTTTTTTGTTTATTTATGTTCCTTTATATTTTGAATATCCTTAATGATCAAAATAATTATAAACACCTGAGGTTTATTCATAAAATATGATAAAGTTGGCATAAAGAGCAGGAGGACGGCGAGGTAGGTCCTCTGACGTAGGGGAAATCAAACCACTGATATTCCAACTAATGGTCAAAGTGTTGACAAGTGTTTTGAACAAAACAAAACACTCCATGTTCCAGGATCATGATCAGCAGGACAGCACAAGTGCATATAGACACACGAGTGATTGACAGATGACTCATCTGTAGAAATCAGTCAATCACTAAGTTGTCAATCAAGGTCACATGATGCTGATTTATCACAGTTGATTAGTGATGCAATGGACAGATTACATCACAACTGGTTGGAGCTCTGGTGAACGGGTGGAACAGCTCACATATCGCATTGATGTTGCTTCACACACGGCTGACATTTATGTCGTGCTGCACGCAATGTGTGTTTAACAAAACGAACAAAACCCATCACGGTTCAACGGTCCTGTCATCCTGGCATGTGTTTTTTTTTTCTTCCAGGTTCTTGGAATCTGTCAGGCTTGCTGAAGAGAAGGAGCATCAATAACAGTTGCGTCGGACATCTTGGATTCAAACACATCCGTCATTTACACAGCATCAACGGAATCACAACATCCAGCTCGGGGATCGAACCCTCCACCCCCTCCTCTCCTCATTCCTCCAACTCACATCTCAAAGCAGAAGGAATTCAGTGGTTGATGGCAGAGCTGGGGAAACATGTTGCAGCAGGTGAGGACTGTTGTTGCTGTTGAAGTGAATTAATATGTAGCTCCTTCGAATATGTGTGTGTGTGTGTGTGTGCGCGCGCAAATGGTGACACACTCTCAATCCCATTTGAGACCATTCAATAGACCCACAGTCATCATTTATATGACGATGATGTCATATCCCCTAATCTAGATTATCTCTCTAAGACTAGTTTATTTAAACATAGAAACTAATATACTCTTAGTATATTTGACTGAAGAAGTTCAAGTCACTGTAGAGATCATCAGGAGGATGATGATGATGATGATGATGATGATGATGATGATGATGAACACTACTCTACAATCTACTCCAATGAGGTTTTATGCTGCAAATTTCACTCATAAAACGTTGATTATTCGTATCATTGAGTGAGTCAAATATCTTTTCTAAAAACGCTATGAGTACGAAGTGGAATTACAAATGACTTGGCACATGAGTCAAACACAACCAGGGTTTCTCTGGGTGTGTCCTGAGCGTTGTGTTTCTACATCAGCGTGACAACAGTCCAACAACAGTACAACAACAGTTCAACAACAGTACGGTGAGAACCTGACCAAAGAGCTATACGTCACATTCCACCGAGGTTTTCCTCCAAGTTCACCAACGAGGATTCAATATTGATAACGTGTCTTTGAAAGGTTTGAACTGCACATATAAAATAATCTGTTGTATTGTGTTGTATTTACTCATGTGGAGATAAAGTGGAACTGCAGATAGAAGTTATAATGCACAACATCTGTTCATGGGTTGTGGAATGCTGGGAATCTGTAGGAGAGCCCAAGACACTGCAGTGAGATTGAGTCAAGCTAGTAGTATTTTCAAATACTGTCTAGTACTGTAGTTTACCTTGGGTTTTTATACTGCTTGGTTCAATTGTGTGGCTGTAGAATGTCAACTCCAAGTTTATATATACAGTATATAGTAAATTCACTACGGAGTAAATAATTCTAATACTTTAACTGTTTTCTCTCAGTCCTATTTCTTCTTCTACACTGGCTGTGCCATAAGAACCACAGACTCTTCAGCACGTGGTTGGCACCTCCACAGCACTGAATATAAAAAACAGATGGAGAAGAGACAGAAAGTAGATGACAGAATCTGAGAAATATTTTCACCAACCATAAAGCATTTATATTGAAGGGTGGAAGAGCAAATATTTTCAAAAAAAAAAAAAAGAACAAAAACTAAATTCTAGGACTGTCCTTGTTTAAAATAAATTAATAAGAATAATACAGACCTGGACCAGTGAATGATTTGTTGTTTAAATTATATTACAATTATTAATGAAAACAATATTTTAAAGAATCATAATAAATAGGTTCACAAAGTTCTTAAAAATATAAAAAATATTGTCTCTACACTCAGACTCAGAAGAAGAGCTTTTAGTTTGAAACTCGAACTACCGCAGGTTGTGTAACTACTACCATTGATCCAGTATTTGCAAAGTATCTAAAAAATAAACATAACATTAATGTGTATATATAATGTGAGTGGATGATTCTGATTTATTCTGACAGTTCCTTCAACCAGTCTCACCCCTACTTTGATTTATTTTATTCAACTGTATTTCTCCTCCAGTCACATTCAAAGTTGTTGCCATTGAACCAGGTAATTTGCTCTGGCAGCTTCTTCCTCTCCTCCAGGTCCTGTCTTGACATAGTGTCATCATGGTGATCTGAAGCAGGAAGCCTGGTCTTGTTTCCACTGAGTTCTTCACATCTCACTGATGGCAGTAATGAGGGGTTCAATTTTGGATTAATCCTGGCTGGGCACAACTCCAGCAAACAAATCCTACTTTATAACCAGTTCCAATTAATCAAAAATAACAGCTCAATGTTGATAAAATGATTAATGTCAGAGAGCTGTGGTTAATTAAATGAATAATTAAACATGTATTTCAAAATAAACCATGATTAATTAAGGTTAATAATCATTATCACTAATAAGAGAAAACGTTCTTTCTATATATATTGCTCGAAAAGAGAGACAAATAATGGTAATTGTCTAGAAAAGTATGCAAAAAGATAATTATAAGCAACCAAAAAATATATTTACCTGTGTACATAAATAAATACATAATTACTGTGCAAACTGTGTGTGTCCACTATGCATTAGAAAGCACGGTTGGATTATTAAATATGGGTCTATGTGTTAAAATGTTAATTATCAGATTAATGTTCACAAATGAACTGAAGGGAATAATGTGTTATATTTAACATCCCTAATTATAAAACTGAAAAATATAATATTGATTATTATTTATTTTATTTGCTTCTAACCTGATAAGTTTCAAGCGTCCATTGCCAGATTTCTTTCACCCTGAAAATACATTAGTCAGAAATATGATTGGCTTAAAAAATAAAAAAAAAACTCGCATACGCAACTCGATGCAGTGCAACAAACTGAAGAGTTGAGAATGAGACTGGATGATGAGAAAAGAATACTCTGGATTCTTTTTTAATAATTCATGATAAATATACTGAAAGATAAGCCACTGACTCTGATACGGTTCAGACCCGCAGAGAAGACTTTGCTGGAGTTGACGGTACGACACTGACTGTTTGGTTAAAACTACAGGGGAAAGTGTGAAAAGTATGTGTCCGTCAAACATCCAGCTGTGTTTGAGTCAGTGTTCACACTCCCTCTGGCCTTGGATGGTTCACCTTTGATAGACTGTGCCAACAAAGATACTGTTTATACACTGTTTCCCAGTTTCTGTTGACCTCACGTCCTCCGGTCTTATCCACCATTTCTGTTTCTTCCTCTTATCTTTTTTTTTTTTTTCAGTCTTTCACACCTGGCTCACAGTGTGTTTCCTTTACAAATACTTTGTTATCAAATACTGTGAAATATCACAAAGCTGTGTAAATAACCTGTTTTAAATATTTTTTTTCAAAAACAATATGATGCTATAGATTTATGTTGTCTGCAATAAATTAATTTATGATCAGGAAGTGACCTAGTCTTGCATTTTAAGGCATTTCTGGGACTTTTTTTTCACGATGGTAAGGCTATAGTAAGGCATGTTTTGATTTTTGAAATATACGTATACTTTTTGGGTGAAAATAAAGCAGTAGCTGAAGAGAAACCTTTGTTGCAATTTACAGTCTCACCGTTAGATGTCATTAATTAACCTAACAAGACGGACCGTCGACCACACTGATATCTTTGTCCCGTTGAAAGCAGTTATCAAGGCTCCTGTATAAATATCTCTGTTCTATTGAACTGATATAATCCCACTCCCCATCCTCCAGTGGAAGACTTAAAAACTTTGTTTAGTTTTTTGTTTTAAACTAGAGCAGAGGCAGCGTTTCAGAGAGTCATTCATTCCTTAGGTGACGGCCTAAAACCAAACCACTATTTACATCTAGTGTTTCTTTACACTGACAGCTTCAACTCCCCCACAGCCTTCCTCCCACATCTCCTCTCTCTCCTCCCCTTTCTGTCTCCCATGGAGTGCTACGCTCTCTGCCTGCCTTACGCGTGTTTTAAATTGTTTAGTAACGGCAACTCCAACTCCTCCAGGCCCCCGGGGAAACACACCAGGGAAAAAGAAGGGACTGCTGTGATGACAGGCTTACCTCTGAGCAGAACAGAGCGTCTTGGAAGATAAGTGTGTCTTTTTGAGACGGGGGTGTCTGTCCCAACCCTGCTGCTCCAAGGATCCAGCCTAACTGTCACTGTTTTGCCATGATCTCTGTGGCACAGGAACACAGCGAGCTTCCACAGAGCAGGTGAGTGTTGCCTTCACTGTAGCCTTAAGTCTGGAACATTCTTTTTGATTGAAATGCTTTTATATCACAGGTTTATATATATATATATATATATATATATATATATATATATCTGTATCAACATAAAAGACAGATATAAAAAGATGGAAGATAAAAGAAAATAAATATATACGTATATATATATATATATATACATATATATATATATATACGTATATACATGTGTATATATATATATATACAACACAAGCTAAAAAGAGTGTTAACTTCCATTGACTCTTGTTGCTCGGCGTTGACAGTGAATATAATGAATCTTGTTAGCACACTCAGTGTGGTTCCTTAGTAAAAGCCTTGTGTAGTGATTTCACATTAATCATGTGAAGACAGGATGTCGTTTTTTTTTTTTTGGTTGTTTTTTTCCAACTTGAGGCTCTAAACAGCATTATTGTACTTATTATGTAATGCTGCTGTATGGACATGTGAATACATGCGTGCAATTCCCTGACATGCTGCCAGATTTCTAATAACAAGTGTCTTTGGTGGTAGGTTTGTCCTTGTGTGTACGAGGTTTGCCTTATCTGTTGGTGAGAGTGTGTTTTCGCATGTATCAGTGAGTTAAATGTCTCAAGGCTACAGCGGAGGCTCCGTCAGTGTTTTCCCAAGAAGAACACAGACAAAGTTTTATTTGGGATTTATTTTTTTAGAGCATTTTGCCCTTTTTTCTCAGATATTTTTGGACCATAAAGAAAATATTTTTTAACTTTGTTAGCTTGTTGCTCATCACAGTTACTTCAGTACTGCTCTGTTTTTCTAAAGTATGTCTTTGTAATTGTTTTAAAAAAATACTGTATATATATTTTCTGCTATTGCAACTTTTAATAGTATGTATAGTATGTAAATAGTATGTAAAATAACCAAAGAAATTGTTTCCAAATCTTTTCATCGTGTGGATGTGACTGCCTGTTCTAACGTCACTGCTTAATTATAGCCATATTTCATGATTGTTGCGTGTATTTGATGAAATTTATACCAAAGACTGAAAGGTCAGCCTGCTGACCAGTAGTAGTGGTAAGGTTATGTAAAGATGTTCCTTTATCAGTACAACTATGAGTCTTTTTTCCCTAGAAATCCGAAAGGAATTTCAAAAATTTCAAAGGACTCATGCCTTTATCAACTTTTAAAAAACATTTTTTTTTTTTCTATTTTCTTTCTTTTAAAAAATCAATTGTTTTACTATTATTAAAAAATGTTTCCCAGTTGAATTAACATTTTATTGCATCAACAATGGTCCTCAGTGGAAGTGTTGTGCCCGTACCAGACAGCGAGTGTGTGTCGACTGATGTCAGATGTTGGTATTCTCTGTTTTGTCTTCAGAAACCTGAGACCATTTTTTTAATCCATTCTTTTTAAGCACTTTAATAAAGGGCTGAGTGTGATGTTATCCCCAGTTACACAGAACCAGCCTGTGTCCTGATGAAAGGTGTAGTGTGCAGTAAATCACCTCCTGGAAAGAGCAGTCAGATTCCTTTGTGCAGTGATGTCACCGTGATCGTGTGTGAAACAGATCCAGACTTGAACAGCCCAGCCTGATCCAGATGTTGATTTTCACAGCATAGTTTTGACTCGATTGCTCACACACACATACACACACACACTCCGAGCTGCTTTGCCTTGGGATTAAGAGCTCTGCATTAAACTTGTGGAGACATTTACTGTATAAACTAACTGAGAAGTAGGCTATTTTTTAAATCTCTTTTTTATGTTGATGCTGCTTTTGTTTCTTATATGTTTTTATTTCCATTATTTCAGATTCCAGATCTTCTATGTGCTTTGACTGAATGTCTTGGATTCCAGCTGAAACATGGCCATCAGATACATCCGGCACAAACACATGTGGATTTATGTTTTGAATTATGAAAAAGTGTAGATTGAAGCAACAATGGAAAATTCACCTGTGTTGATTTTAAAAGACCATCCGTTCCGAACTGTCTCTCCTTCGAGGATATTCACTGTGCAAGACTCCACTCTCAAAAGCGACTCTCTCGGAGCGGGTCGTCTTCACGGAGCCCGAAGCTGTTCACCGTTGGAGGCTGGAAATGTGTCAACCATCCCTGGAGCAGGTTTGGACCCAGCTCCACTGGCCTCATCTCACCACCGCACGGGTACTGTAAACACATCACTCAGTTCAAGCCAAGAATGCTGCGACAACGCCTCACCTCCTGCATGTGTAACTGAAGGACAGACAGTCAGAGCCGTCTGTGACCAGGCTGCTCAGACTGTAGACTCCGACTGTGAATGTGTAAAAACAGGAACACCAAATGTGGAGCCGATCACTAATGGCCATGTTTCCCAAGAGCCAGAGCAACCAGACTGTGTCTTTCCCTTTGAATCCCGCTCTCACCTCGTCACCACCTCACCTGTCCCTGACTGGCACCAGACGCTCCTGGATCTTCCTCGGATTGTGAAACACAAACCGAGCTCCATCACCTTCTCAGACAGCTCCTGTTCCCCTGGTATTCCTGAGCACTTTGCTGCCAAGGAGAGCTCTGATGATGGAGAGTCTTCACCAAGGGAAGAGGAGGACGGTCAGGAGGACGGAGACGAGGATGATGATGACGATGTCTTCTCAGAGCTCCCCCAGAGCAGAGAGCTCCATGTGGCCTACAGACAGAGGAGGAACAGCAGAGGCAGACAGAAGAGACGAGGGGCTGCAGGTGGAACAGCAGATGCTGCTCAGATGAACAGTGGCAGAGAAACGAGCAACAAGGAGGTACTGTCAACTCTTTATATCAGATACACCTGTCTCCATGTCTTTGTCTCTGTGAATGTTCCAAATAACTGGATTTATTTAGTTAAAGTTTCCTTTGCATACTTTTCAAGAACAATCGCAACTCTGTTTGAATGGGCATCAATGGCACTAAAGATGGGTTCTAAAAGTACTTGGTTTTTAAGGCATTCTTTGTCACAGTTGTAACTTTATTTGATTTGATTAGCATGAGATTTGGAAAATGGAAGAGAATATTACATATTTTGAGGCAGAAATATCTACAGGGTGTGGTGAGAATGATAATACATTTAAAACAGATTAAACTGCACTGTCACATCAATCAAATCATCGCTAAATATTTGTACGCTATTGTACGCTTAGCCCAAAAACCTTGGCTACCAGGATACAAAAACCAAAATATAAAGAAATATTTAAACGGCACTGGAGACTTCATAATTAATAATCATTTTTACCCAAGCTCTTTCACTTTATATTTGACAATTGTACAGCTAAATCCACTGCTTTTCACAGTCCATGGCAGGGGTTTGACTCGTGGGCTGTTTTTGTTTTTTTTTTTCTTTTTTTGCTGGTTTGTCCAATCATCTTAACACAAGACATTTATAATTATAATGTTAATTGGCAAAGTAAGATTATTTTAGGAGTTATTTATTAAATTGTAGTCCTTTCATATTGCTCTTTATACAACAACAGTATATAAGACAGTTTTTCACACCTATGTGTCAAATATTTTATATTTCCGTATTCTCCTGTTGACAGTGACATCATCACACCACCAGTCCTTCATTAGTAAATTAATCTGTAGCTGTTCTCTCACCTCAGCCTGGTTCAGCCTTCAGTGTCCTGACAGAGGCCTACGCAGCTGAATCCGACCCCTGTTATTGGGTGTATTTCTCCTCAACAAGTCAAGACACATTGGAGTCTCTCTTTCACACAGCCCCTGCACTGACCCTGGTAGTAGGCCTCCTGGAAACCCGCTCAGTTTTATTGGCCATTAACTCACTCATAAGGACATTTACAAATATGTTCAAATCCATTAAAACACCTTTTTCTCTTGTAGCTCCAGGGAACAAATCAACATTTCTCTCATGTTTCCAAACAGTCTGACGAAAGCAGCCGTGTAAGGCTGTACTGGGTGAATGGATGGTGGAGATTAGCTCCTGTTTCTGTGGGTTGGCTCAGATGTTGAGGTAATGCCGGCAGAATGACACTCGCCTCTGAATGGGTTGTTTTGGAGAAGAGCTGAGGAATGCTGGGAATCCAGGGAGCGGGCTGTAAATATTATCAAAGGACATCAGGTCAAAGCTTCTCATGGTGTCCCACCATCTCATAGTGGGGCTGAAATATACACAACACTGTGTGCGTGGAGGACCGGGTTTCATAGAGCAGAAGCTGAGGGAGAAAACATCTGATGTCACTTCAGATAATGTGATAACTACGTGTTTCAGTGGGATTTTACACAATTCACTTTCCTGTTTTTTTTCAAAGGCGAAAAACACATTATATAAATATATATGTATTACATTATATTACATGGTTTTTTTAACGTTACATTAGACAAATACCACAGGGTGCACTGCAAAACACTGTCCCAAAAATTCTATTCAATGATATATAATGATGCTCTGTTTTTTTCACAAATGATTGAAACCTGAGCCCGTTTAGTTGAACACAATCCTGTTATGTTCACAGATGTTGAAGAAAGATATACGCTGAGTCTCTCTCTCTTTATAGTGCCTATAGTCATCTTCTGCCACCCAGTGGAAGTATATGTAAAATAATAATAGTTAGATAAAAGTTTTCAGTCCAGTTAAATTAAACTGGAGAATTTCCTGCAGTACATGTGATGATCTCTCACAGAACACTAATGTCCTGAGGCACAGCGGTTGGGAATCACTGCAGGGGATCAATCGTATGTCAAACCTGATTTGTGTGTCTGGGAGACAGTTTTAATCCCCAAACCTTCAATTGTTAGGTCAGAACTACTGTTTTAAGGTATAAAATATATGTATTATTCTTCAGCGAAATTTAATCTTTCAAAATTCAATATCCAGACTATTACAGCTGGATTCACGTATGATGCAGGGACTGTAAAATAAACCTTGACCGTGGACTGACCCGGATTAAGAGCTAGTGTATTTTTAACCATCAATACGCGCAGACACCTGGAGAATCTACTGCAGTACTTTGATGTAGTTGTTAACTTCAGCCATATGAGGGCACTGTATACATACACTTATCTCCTGTCTGATCCTCCTGCCTCTCTTGTGACAGAATGCCCCTAAGAAAACATTACTTTCTTTTTCCACAGCAGATTTAAATCTGTCGTTTCTGTTTTCTCCAGGTTTTATTTTTTCATAGCAGGATATGACAGGGGTAATTTATTCCTTAGAGGAGCCAGGTAGCTGTTGGCCTGGCCTTTCGCATGACCGGCCGTTACATTTGGATACCTCCATGGTGATCTCTGGCACTCTGTGGGTGGCATGAACTAGGCACCGGGCCCAGATCTCACACACACAAACACACACACACAAAAACTCCTCATTTCCATGTCAAAGACGCAACGCTGAACTCTTCAATGTGGCTAATTTGCACTGATGAAGTTGTAGCCCAGTCACATGTTGTAGCTTCCCAAAGACAATATTAATGCATGTATCTAAAGGATTGAGTCATACCAGCTCAGTTGCCATGGTACGAGGACTGGTCACAATCGTCAGGGGTGGATCGAGGGCAAAGGGATGAATTCAAGGGTACTTTCTCACTTCGCCAAACCTTCTCAGGGAAGTTGGCTTTTTCAGGCCTACAGTTCCCAAGATGTTCAATTTAAATTCATTGTTAATTAATTCATTGACCTCTTTTCCTAGCCTAACACGTAGAATACAAATGTTTGCTTACATTCGTACCTTTCTTTAGGTGTTTCTGGCAGCACTGTTGCCTTACTCATTCTGAATGACTTAAGTTGCATAGTACTCTTCTTTGAAAACTGCCATATTAGTTAGTATGCTACACAATCCTTTAGTAGGTTTGCGGGGTTGCTTGACTGACACATACAGAGATACAACTTAGAGTAATTGTTTTTATGGCTTAGCACCTAAATTAGTTAATTTGAGATCAAAACCCCAATTGATTGGTCGAGAAGCAAATGTGCATTACTTTGTAATGTGAACCTGGTTTCGTTGCGTGGTGAATAATGTATTGAGTGCCAGTGCGTGCATTACTTTGTAATGTGAACCTGGTTTCGTTTCAGTTTGTTTTTTCAATTGAGTAAAAATATATAATATTTAAATTGTATAATGAGTCAAAATGTCAATGTTGTTGGCTTTAATTGGTAATGGATCAATAAAGCTCCTAGAGTAGATTATATGCTGTCGCTTCCCTGTAGTATATTGAGCCACGGTGTATTGTCCCGTGAATTCCTGGCACTTTTATGTATTATCTCCACTAATGCCCGATGAAGGTGTATTACATTTGATACATCTTTTCAACAACTATCATCTTCGACTAATGCCTGGTATCTTCATGTTTGACTTTCTAAGTGTCAGTAATGGCTGGTACGTCTTTGTTGTATGTGTTCACAGCCCATAATTCCAGGTATTGCCTTGTTGTACACACTTATCGCCTAGCAATTCCATCTAATACCTGGTATTTCACAATACCAGGTTCTTCCTAGGAACACCAGTCTCCGGTGTCAGGCACATGTCTGCAGTGGTACTATTCTGAACTAACAGGTATTCAAAAATAAATACCTTAATTTTTTATGTGCTACATTTTTCTAATGCTAACAGCTACCTTTATAAAATAACCTAGTATTTTGTAAAATTAACTAGTATCTGTTTAAAATTTGGGGTAATGCTAACAGCTACCTTTATAAAATAGTATTTGGGCTATACTCTACCATGAGCCGTTTGTTGATAAGTTTAATCTCTTCACATCGATAAACAACAATTTCACATATTTAAAAAAATTTAAATGACCAATCGTTCTGATCTATTGTCGAAGTATTCCATCTCCCCTTGTGTCTGCTGTTCTCAAAGGAACGACACAGAGCAGAGATTTATTTTTTACTCTGGATGACCCTGGATGACCTCTCATGCCTAAAAGGTCAGCAGGAGATCGGCCAAATGCACGTCATTCTTTAGGGGCTGACAAAGGGGAAAAGTCACTTTCTCTCAGTGACAGTCACCTGACATCGGAGGTCAGCTGTCCGACTTCACTGCTCACTGTCTAGACTCTGTTAGAACAGACGCTGTTTATAATCAGACACAGTATCATAGAGTGAAGCTCACTAGGTCGTGCTTGTCTTATGCCTGGAGGGTTGTGGGATTTCATTCTTAACCTGTTGTCAACTGCTGCTCCAATGACCAAACTCTACTGGAAATTTTGGGGAATTTTCATCATAGTTAACGAAGTTAACCGTAAATTACATCACATTATATAAACAAAAGTCCTGATTTACCACAAGGGGGATGTCTTACTGCTTTTTTAACACAGTTTTTAATTCCAGAAAATGGATGAATCACGGTCTCCGTTTTGACCGTCAGATAAGTCTGGTGTCTCCCTCTGGGGTTTAAACTGTCCGTGATGGTTATTTTTATAGAAACTGGAGTCAGTCGACATTAAATGACCACTGACTGTAAAGACACACGCAGCTATTCTGCTAGGTCAACAGACATTTTGAAACACGGACTAATTTAAAAATATTTTCAAGAAGTCTCATTTTACTCTCACGGGAAGCTCCATAATATATTAATCTGAATATATTCACTTTTAGTGTCACCAATTTACTTTGGTACTCATGTTTCAGTGTTGCACGGATTTGTTGAAGCAACACCCCCCCCCCCCCCTCCGACCCCCACTCTGCTGTTCCTGTCCATCTATTTTCTCTTGTCTAATGAGCTAATCACAGTTCTGTACTTTCACCAGGATACACACAAAGGCAGTCACATGGATACAGAGAGTGACACAGTTACATCCAACTATGTATACTGTGTGTCGAGTTTTACTTCAAAAACGTATTCCCCTTTGTTTGTGATTGAAGAGTGAGACGAGAAGTAAAGTAATAACATTAGTCAATGTTAAATACTTTTTTTTTTTTTTTGGAATTAGTGTAACTTACACACTCCAACCTATAACCTAACCTAAAAACCTTTGTTGAATTTGTCATATTATTCTTTGAAAGACTTTAACCTTTAGGTTTAAGACAAGTCTTTATACATACATTGAACTTTACCTTAGCATTACCCTGACAGGAACTCTTGGTACTTCACTTTTAGCAGACTCACACATGCTTGTGTGGTCATTTATATTTTGTCGACCGAGGTGCATCCTGTTGATTTATTAAGCTCGAGCTCAGATGAAACTTCTGTCTGCAATAATAAGTCGGTCTATTTATAGCGGTTCTCTGCCGTTGCAGGGAATTCCATCCCGACGTTTATGTCTGGAGCCCTTCTTCACTTTGCTCTTACACACAGAGAATGAACTGATTCAATTACAATTCCATGTGTTGCTGTAACATCTGTGGTTTACAAGATACTTGACCTTTAACTCCTGCTGCTAATCAGGACAATGACAGACCTTAAATAATATTAACAAGCTCTAAAGGTGTAGACAGTAACATTTTCAACCAAATTTACCAGAAAATCTGGTTTTTCTATTAGCAACATAATATACTTTATATCTTCTTTATAAACTTGTATTGAACTTTTGCTCTTCTATAAAGAATACATTGGTCTTTATATATGAAAAAAGAAAAAAGCTATCTACAATTTTCTCTATACATATTCTTATATTGTCTTCCAGTTTTTAAATTCCAGTATTCCATTTTTTATTTTAATTTTAATTTTTAAATTCCAGTATTCCATTATTAAGACAAACTCAGGTTAAAGTTTGGTTAAAGTTTATATCAATGGATGACTCCTGGACTTCCAGGAGAGTTTGGACGCCTGCATTACGGTCTATGTAATATGATCACATCTGTTTTGATTGATTCAGTTTAATTAGCTAAAGGATAAAACTAGATCAGATCCACAGGATTTAGATCAACCACCTAAATAAATAAATACAAATACAACAGAAAACCTTGTTTTTTTACGACCTGTCTTTACGTTGATTCCACTTCTGTTTTTCACAGGTGAAGTCTCCCTGGTCAGAATCCATGAGGCAACTGATGAGGAAACTAGACCAGCTGAATCTGGACATAGAGGAGGCTCTGAGTGCAAGTTCATCTCCCTCCAACACACCCTGCATCACTCGCAAAAAACAGGTGAGAGAGAGAGAGAGAGAGAGAGAGAGAGAGTTAGCAGGTATACAGTTCCCATTGATTTGAACAACAGATAATCTGGGCTTGAGAGCAATAAAGAAATTCAAAACCTGCCAATTGTGATTTTCAATAAAAGTTCTAAAGTGTACTGAGGCATCTGACTGGTGTCTCTCTGTGGCATTAGGGTATAAATCTGTTTTTCACATCCCGGAGCAAAGATCTGTATATCAGTGGAGCCTTTTAATGAAGTGTATATATTCAGTCTTTAACGAAGGCTGGCTAAAAAAAAATGTACACATTCCAGCAGAGCGTTTATGCTGCATAGTTGGTCATGGTTTTTAGACCTCACCTAATCAATTCCGTTTGCTCCGTGAAGAGAATTCTACTGGATTATATGGACCTGTAACGGCCTGACAGGTGTTCAACAGACTGAATCCACCCGCGCAGTATTTAAAAGTGTTCCAAATTAACCAAATAAAGCCCTGAACACAAGCTGTGTGAACGTGTTCAGCCAGTGAGAGATTGCCTACGAGTGTGTTCCCAAGAAGAAGATTCTACGATGGAGCCTGTTGTGGTGTCCATCTCTAGCTCTAAAATGTGACGCTGAACTCTGTATTAACGGACTGAACTTAAATCCTAGGCCAGTTTCAATACCAACAGACGTAATAAAGTCATCCTAAGGTGCATCATAATGTCTGGGCTGAATGACTTCCCCCGTGCTGTTACTGAGCAGCACAGAACCATGTCCAGTTAGCGACGGTTCCTGCCTGAATGTTCTGGTTACTGAACAATGTCTTTTTACTGTGTTACTACTTATTTTATATACATGGACACATTGTTCTTATAAAGAACATTTTATCTCACTTTAAGTAGGAATGGCAGGATACAACCTTTTCATGTCCTATCTTGATACTGCAACTCAGTATCTGCTGATACCAATAGCACTCTGTCATGCTGTCTTAGCGTCCTGCTGAGCTTATCGTCTGTTTAATAATGTCAGTCTGAAGACACTTGTCTATCGTGTTTGCTCTAAATGTTGTTCTGCAGGAGGAGACAGCTGTTGTGCTTCTTGGAACCCTGCATGTAACTTTCCCTAAAACAGGGTTCTGTTCTCATGGATGGCATGTTTCATGAATTATGGCAGTGGATTTAACATTTGGGAACAAAAGTTCTCTTTGGGCTGCATGTGTATGTATGCATGGCACAGAGGAGCCGTTGTGTAAGAAGAGAGTTTATATGATGTGGTCCTCTAAAAGACTTGCATGCCTTACAGGGATCTGCATAACAATCTCAGGCATTCGCTGTTCCTTGCTTTTACTAATAGGAGGCGTCGGAGCAAGATGACATTTGATTGGAATATTTGACAAAGTCATGCTCTCCGTCCCCTCAGAAAGAGATGAACACATACAGACGTCTTTGTCTGCCGCCGTCGAGCTGAATCTGGAATGAGGAGATTGGACTTGGCGTTGACTTGCTGACTTTTGTTTTCCTTTTCTCAGGGTCACTGTTGAGACTATCCTGTCACAGTCTGATCAGACACACACACAGATATACTCAGTCTTTACGGTTGTTGTTGTGATGTTGTTGCAGTGGGGTGTGATTTCAAAGTCCACTGCCAACCAAACCTCGAATGATGACCGTCTACAAAAGCGAGTGGCGGAAAATGGGGACCGTTTGAGCCTAGAAGGTTCTTCAGCTGCTCATGGCAAACGAAAGCGAGGAGCAAGAAAACGGTAGGTCTCCTTTTAACAGCAACCAAATATTAGTGTTCCAGTTGTGACCCAGTCACACTGGCATTTAACTGTGTGTAGAACAAGGGCTTATTTCTGGTTCTGCGTAATTCCAGCAGTTGTCTGTATGGACTACTAGCAACAAAACAACACAGTGGGTGTATTCGTATAATGTTTGGCAAAGAGTGGCTGCCCCTGCTGGATACACTGGTAACTGCTTAAGATTTCCATCCAACGAATTAAAAACCACAATAGTCAAAAATATGTTTTCTGCTACTCTCTTTAATTCTTTGATTCTTTGACTTTGGCAACATGATGATGATGATGATGATGATGATGATGATGATGCAGGGACATTACAGTGGACATTAATTCTTCATGAAATCATCTTAAATTCTGTTATAAGGAGATAAGAAGTCCTTTATTTGTCCCACAGTGGGGAAATTCACAAGTCATTCCTTTGATTTCATTAAAAGTTAATTTCTTCCACAATGTGTTCTAAATAATCTAAAATCATCTTTCACGTAAATATCAATTCTTTAATATTCTTAGTATTTTAGAGACTCATTATTAAATGTATTTCACCTGAAATGTATATGTAGATTTAGACAATTTTCACTGTAGATTTTCACTGCTCTGCTTTTCTACATTTGAACTGAAACCCAATTCTTTTAATATTACTTTTATGTAACATTACGAATTCTTTTGGTTTCACCACCTCAGCATGGAACATATTTCGCTTCTGTAACACGGCAGCAGGGAAAACTGCCAGCTGAGAAGAGCTGAGCACAATTCAAAAAAGTTTATTTTGTTTGTGGCCACTGGGTGCGCCGATGAAATGAGGTTGGGTTCTCAGATTAAATACCACCTGTCAGCTCTCATTAAAGAAAACTATAACGACCTCTTTCAAATGTCAGGAGCACAGTTAAGAGTTTTCATGAAGAACAGCTGAGAATGTTCTCCCAGGTTATAGATGAGAGTATTTTGGCAGCAGTGAGTGCCCACGACCATATTGTCATGTGACGGTTATGAGAAGAAAAGGCGGTTCCTGTGAGTGTCAAGACTCCAGCTTCCATTCCAAGACACTAACAGGAAAAAACAGTGGAAGATTAATAATAAATGCATCTATAATATAAACAATTTAACTTTCATCTAACGCTGTAAGACAGAAGTTTCATCTTGATAAAACCCAAACAAACTGCGTGTAATTCATGTCATCTGGATATAAGAAAGGGCAGAGAGGGTGCTAAGTTCTTTGAGATTTCAAAAGTCAACATTACAGTAAAAAAAGACAACAACTTTGATGCATAAACTAAACATTTGAAAAATGTAACAACTATTCTGTAGTTTAGGGAGCAGCTGCCTCAACATGGACCTAACATGTTCTACTGCCATCCAAGGTGAAGGTGATTGGCAAGTTAGCAGTTAGCAGTTAGTCTGGTCTTGGTGCCTATAACTTTTGAACTTTTCTTATAAACACATTAGCAACATCAAATTTCAACATTCAAATGGCCTTGGCCTGCTCTTCTTTTTCCAAAACATTTGGTTTTTAAAACACATATCTATTATGGTCACTTTGACTTTCTTGGTGGTTCTTGGGTTAAATCCAGCCAGTACCGGTCTTTGCAATGACTCTGCGGTTCTTGGGTTAAATCCAGCCAGTACCAGTCTTTGCTTAAATCTTTGTCCTCACATTGATAACTGACTTCCAGACCCTGCTGTCCTCTCACCTCATTTGCCATTTGGCCCAAAAGTTACAAGAGAGCATTTAACAAAGACATGTTGTGCAGAAACAAAAGCAAATATCTTATTCAAACCCTGCCAGTCATGACTGGCAGTCTTAAAAACATACCAGTGTGGATATGTTGTTGTTGCCAAACTAACAACACTGAGAGTCATGGTGTTCACACATCACAACAGCTTGTCATTTACTGACAAAACTCCCCAGAAAAACCCTGACGTTTATTGATTGTCATCCTAGTCTTTATAAAAGAGAATACACACTGTGGAACTAAAACGTGCCAAAGCCTGAATGATGATAATACATCACTGTATTTATGGTCAGAGCAGCGGAAAACATGGTTTCAAAGGTGGAGGTGGAATGTCTTCATGTTTTAGTGTTGCTTTGATTTACGTCCAAGACGATTCCATTTCAGCAACTTGTAGTGAAGGAAAACTCATCAATCTTGTTGCTGAGTTAAAGAAACTGAAACCTTCTTCCATCCAAATGACTTGGCTGTGACCACAAATGTCCCAGGAATCGGCAGCAGTGGGTCCTCAGACCTAGACGGAAGGCGTCTGTGTCACTGTGAAACACAGAGTCTCTGAAAGACAACTTTTATAAGTTGGCCATTTTTTATTCCTAGATCAAGTTTGACAATTTTGTCATTGACTATTAACTTTTTCTCGGAACTTTGCAAAACGTGGCCGGTGTCATGAATGTCCGTGAAGCCGTATTACACTGAAGAGCTCACCGGTGTCATGAATGTCCGTGAAGCCGTACTACACTGAAGAGTTCACTGACTAAATAGTGCTGCAGTAGTTCTGTTGCAATTAAACAGCACATGTTTTTGATATGATCTTTGCAAAATAGGCCAAGCAGGAGGAGGAAATACAACCTACAACATTTAGATCAGCCCATGAAGCCTAAAGTAGTGAGGCTAAAGGTTAGAGCGTTAGCTTAGTAATTCCCTGATGCTAGCACGATGCAAACATATTGTTAGATTCTTGCTGCCAAAAAATTGCAAACATGCTAAGTGCTAACTTGCCATAACATTACATGTGCTAATGTTTTTTATTATTTCTGTTTTGGCCGAGTTGCACCACATACGGACCAGTACACGAATGTTACCTTAGACCAGGATTACTTAGCACCACCGACAGGCGGTTAAGAGGTTTTTAATTGTCCTTCATGTTCCATTGTTTATAAAAATGATCAAACATTTTTCTTATATATTGAATTATATTTAACACTGTAACGTTTACCAGGTCAGCTTGTTTTTACAACTGTCTAGCCACAAACATTAGGGAACAACCTGCAACAAAAAAATCTGTTTGAAATTATATCTAAGATGACGAATAATGTTTATCTTCTCAAAATCCAACATTAAATAACCTAAGGATCATCCACTGTCGGTGTTATTGTGTGTGAGGTCATGGCACTCTCTCTGTTGTCTGTTATGTGTTATAACAAACCAAGTTGGTGTACGTTTACATTAATATCCACCAGAATAAAATAGGCCCAAACCAAACTTCAGTATAGACCAGAATAAAATAGGCCCAAACCAAACCACTTCAGTATAAAAGAAAACTGACAGAGAGAAAGAAAAGAATTCTTAAACTTTGTCCCAATTTTCTTTTTCGCTGTTTCCTCCACTGACCTTGCACCCAGACACTGAATTTAAAAAAGTGGGACAAATGTGTTTTCTTCAGTTATGCACTTTTACAGAATCTTGAATCATTTGTATTTATAGGCCACAAATCAATACGCGTTTTACTTTTCAGTCGTTTCAGATGTTTTTAGAGTGAAGCTGTTGAGATTGAAATCTGGGACAAATGACTCAAATCTCCCTCTGACTGCTTTTTAGGCAATTAAATATCTAAGTAAATGCTTTGGGAACAACTTTTGGAAATAATTTGCCCTTTTTTTCTCTCTACAGAGCCTTAATAAGATGTCCAACACTGCAGGTCCAGGTAAGAACTTAATGCTAATATATAATAATTAGCAGCGTGTGGTGTTTAGAATTAACTTGGTTTCTAAATTCCTTCAAACTCACGGTACAGTTACAGCTCTTACAGTCAACATTTTCTGATGTGTTTGGTTCTAAAAGCCGTCGTCTGGTCTCTCGTGGGACGGCAGCTCTTTTTTTCAGTTCCAGGATAGTGGCGGCTAATGTTAGCTGTGGTGCTTGGAACAACATGTTTGGCATTGTGATTATACTGTCGGCTTGAGGTGCTGCAGTTACTACTATGTTTTACAACATTTCACCAAACGTTCTTGTGGATCTTCTTCATGTTCTTTCATGAGATTGGTATTGATATCTGCATCCTTGAATTTGTCACCTGAGAGCAGCTTACAGTGACCCTGTGTTGGACCTACTTGGAAATATGTATTTCATATATTATTAGTCAGCTAATCATTTTCCAACAATCATATGGTTTCCCTTTCTCGCTCAGAAGAATTCAGTCTTCTTTTATAGAACACAAAGATCCGACATCATTTATATAAATTACATTTCCACGACTTGACAGGTTAAGTGTGTTATGTGTGATTAATAGCTGCGTTTTCCTTTATGAGTCTGGTGACCATAAAATTCCTAAATGTCTTAATAAAGGTGCCGTTGTTATGGCTCTGGTCAATGTCACTGAAATCCTACTGTGGCCAGAATTTATTGAACTCTTCAGTTCTTTTACATGGTCTGTGGTAGACTAGTAGTATTATATGTATGTATGTATGTAGTCTGTATATGGGTTATGAATAAGTTATTTTCATTTTCACATTTCCATTGAACTCTCTTTGGTTATCTCTGATCTAAAAAGTCTAGTTCTTTTACACATATCTGAGCAACACTCATGTTATTTATTATCCCATATAAGTTGTGATTTATGATTTATGTCGAGTCAGCGCAGACTTTGCACTTTTGAGAAAAAACATATTTTATAGCTCCAGATGATGGATGAAGCTGAAAAGTTTTCCTATGGATTACGCAACTTCAGTTCAGTTAGACAAATTCCTTTCTGTGTGAAGGACTTTTGGGGGAAATGCTCTGTGGAATACTTGACTACTGTGCACTGGTTGTGGCTTCTAATGTCGGGCATTATGTAGCAGCAACGTCTGGTCAAAAGTTACGGCGAGTGTGTTGTTCTGTTGTCCGACATGACCTGAACACCGTCCCTTCGGTTCAGGCCGTTCTGTTAAACACCGTTCACCTCCCAGACAACGTTAACAAGAGTGGCAGCTGCAGGTGTCCGTAAGTGCTGCACTCCCCAAGGAGCCAGGTCTAGTCA